CCACCTTTGTGGCGAATTCTGATTGTCTGTCATCAGAAAAATAGTTTTTCAAGTACCAAGGAACAGCACCTGCAATAGACCGCCCACCAAATTTCAACAACTTCCCTTTTCGTTTTAAGCCCTGGTGATCACTTCCTGTAAAAATGCCTGCTACTGCTTTCAAGAAGGCTCAAAAGAGGTGTTACGTCTGTGCACATACAAGAAAAAGCCCACAACAACCGGCAGAGACACTCGTTTTATGTGTGAAGAATGTAAAACACCACTGGCATGACACCATGTTTTTAAAGACTTCCACAGGCTGCAGAACTTTAGAAAAAATTCCCTGTGACTGTATATGTGTATATAAATATAGAAAAATAGGTAATAAACAACATTTCATATCGTTTGTTTGTGCAAATATTTTTTGTAAACAAAACAATGACAACAGTGTTTATGCCCTTATTGTGTAGTATTGAAAAAGAAATAACTTACAAAATACTGATCATACTGGTCTCACAGGCCATAAAAGTTACTTGGAAAAAAGAAAAATTAAAAAATAATAGAAATTAGTACATAAGAAAATAAATAAAAGAATACCGGGTGACAGCAGTCGGCGATGTTGCCACACGGTGCCCCTTTTTCATCAACTTCACGCCTCCATATCTCGATAAGTATTGATGGTAAAAAAATTTTTTTAGCCTATAATGTTCAGTAAAATAAACTCTGTTTTTTTTATAAGAAAAAACAATTTTTTTTTTTTTTTAAATTTGGCCGACCCTTAGAACAAGTCTCTGACAGGGCCTGTCGACCCTGAAAGGGTTAAAGCAATTAATCAGGAATGTTTAACATATGCCTTTGTTTTCATCATCAATGTAAAAGTGCTGCCAAAAAAAAGTACTTTTTTCTTTTGGTAGCTTTTTCAACCAATTTCCACCAAATTTTCACCATTGTATAGGGATGATATGACATATATCCAGTAAAAAAATCATGAAGTTTGGACAATTTGGAGCAAACTGAATCATTATGTGTGTGTTTATCGCAACACATACAGAAAAAAATTTTCTTTCTCCAAAATATAAAATTTGGCACATTGGTTTTGATGACCCCCTAGGAATCCTAAAATAGAGGTGGCAGCACTAACAAGAAATGCACTTCACAGTGCCATAGCACTTATATAGGTGAATTATGAATCTTTTTTTTTTTTCCAACACATTGGACATCTCCCAATGAGGCAGGGTGACCCAAAAAAGAAACACTTTCAACATCATTCACACAATCACTAACTTGTAGGCAATTTTTAGGAAATCATTTAAAATAATCTGAACAGCTATAAAGCAAATGCAGAGGATCTCTTTTGCAGGCCCTCCTCCCTGCTAGACAGGGAAGCCCTAAAAATTGCTTTCATGCCAAATCACACAAAACTTAATATTCATTATACCCAAATACCCTAGTGCAATCATAAAATACAGCCTGGAAGGAGAAACACTGCAGACACCATGCAAGGAGAAATATCTGGTATTACATAAGCATTACAACAAGCACACCATCAGAAGTACATATCAATCATTTAACTTCAGTAGCACATGCAAGACTAACCTATGATTAATTTTCCAGAACCTAAACAGAGTCATTCAGGACATTATACACAACATACCCAGGGCTCAACTTGAAATATGTAGTACCAGCATGGAGTCTGCAAGTGAACATTAAAAAAAAAAATGAAAAAAGATCCATAGGTTCACAAGAGGTTCACTACAGAAGGGGACCAGGGAACATGACCCTGACAAACTACTCCTAGGATGATACTAAGTGGACAGGAACAGAATGTTTGAGATAAGAGAGGGAGTCAGAGAACATTGGTGACAGGTAAAGACACAGATGAGCCATAATAACATTAAGGTGGTGAGAGGAATGAACTAAACAACGAGGTGGCACCATCAGTAAAAAAACCTATACATTTTGCATACGACTGGCTATACACATCATACAGTTTGTGTACCTACTAAAGGCTGTGATATACAGGCTGCCTTCAACTGTACAATATATCGATAAAGGCAGAGAAACTATCACATAAGAACTTCAAAGAATTTCCTTGCTGGTGGGTTAATTGGCAGTTTGCATTTGAGCATCTTTACAAGCTGCTGCATTTGACAATAAGTAACCTTGATCAGTCTTATACTTGCATCCCTCATCTAGTGTGGAATCATGAAGCAACTGGCACATCCTGTGGACACTCGTCAGGCCTTCATTTTCTATGAGGTATGCAAGAAAAACACTGAGTATATCTATTACTCTTCTCTACTCTAAAGGAACAAATGGGCCTAATGCAGACAATGGTCTAATTTAGGTATGTCATCTAACCCTTCATTATTAGTACAGGTTGGCTATCACTAATCCAGCAATCGGTAATCCAGTTCCATCAGTAATCTGGCACTAATTTCAGCTAGCCTAATTTAAAATTTCCAGGGCTGCCACACCAACCTGCAGCTACTATTTGGCAGTGCTACTTGCTGCACAAGTCATTCCAATTTGCTTTTCTCTATTTATTGTTATAATCTGCTCACTTTTAGCCCAAGCCATGGTTACAATGAGTAAAAGAAATGCTTCTCGTTGTGTAAAGCACATACACCGTACATTGTCCATAAAAGATAAGGTGACGTTGAAGCCACAGTCAGTCACCATGAGCTCAGCTCACTCAGATAAGCTGTGACCAGTAACTTTGGGCCTACATATGAGAGAATAGGTCTTTGTGGTAAATGTGCACAATATAAAAACAAATTCTGAAGCACGCAGTGCATAATGAGAAAAAAAACTGATGCTGGATTAGTGATGGTCAACCTGTATTCAAAATGGAAAGTGCTAAACTGATAACTTCTAGTTGCAGAATGTGTCCAAGCTGCTGGCACAGTCTTGTTACAGCACAGAGAATGGGAATCTGAGAGAATGGAAAGCAAAACAAGGCCAGACTGAGCTAAAACTGGTAGAGTACTATGAAACTGGTAGTCTGTGAGACTAAGTTGATAAGATTGTGTTCCTGTGGTTCACTTAAACCAATATACAGAAATTTGAAATACAGAAAAAATCCTAAAAACAAAACTAAATAAACAAAGATATTAGAATGATAGAATGATAGGTAGTAAGTTGGTAGACAGCAACTGCCCAGGGAGGTACTACCATCCTGCCAAGTGAGTGTAAAAAGGAAGCCTGTAATTGTTTTAAATGATGGTAGGATTGCTGGTGCCAGAAGCAAGTAGCTAGTAATCCCTTCTGTACATATTACTAAAGTTGAAAAGAGAAACTTTTGTTTTTCTTTTTGGGCCACCCTGCCTAGGTGGGATATGGCCGATTTGTTGAAAGAAGATTAGAATAACTGAGGATAAAAAACACTACATAGGTAGTAGGTTGGTAGACAGCAACCGCCCAGGGAGGTACTACTGTCCTGCCAAGTGAGTGTAAGACGAAAGCCTGTAATTGTTTTACATGATGGTAGGATTGCTGGTGTCCTTTTTTCTGTCTCATAAACATGCAAGATTTCAGGTACGTTTTGCTACTTCTACTTACATTTAGGTCACACTACACATACACAAGCATATATATATACACACCCCTCTGGGTTTTCTGCTATTTTCTTTCTAGTTCTTGTTCTTGTTTATTTCCTCTTATCTCCATGGGGAAGTGGAACAGAATTCTTCCTCCGTAAGCCATGCGTGTCGTAAGAGGCGACTGAAATGCCGGGAGCAAGGGGCTAGTAACCCCTTCTCCTGTATATATTACTAAATTTGAAAGGAGAAACTTTCGTTTTTCCTTTTGGGCCACCCTGCCTCGGTGGGATACGGCCGGTGTGTTGAAAGAAAGAAAAAACACTACATAGGTAGTAGGTTGGTAGACAGCAACTGCCCAGGGAGGTACTACTGTCCTGCCAAGTGAGTGTAAGACGAAAGCCTGTAATTGTTTTACATGATGGTAGGATTGCTGGTGTCCTTTTTTCTGTCTCATGAACATGCAAGATTTCAGGTATGTCTTGCTACTTCTACTTACACTTACGTCACACTACACATACATGTACAAGCACATATATACACTCCCCTCTGGGTTTTCTTCTATTTTCTTTCAAGTTCTTATTCTTGTTTATTTCCTCTTATCTCCATGGGGAAGTGGAACAGAATTCTTCCTCTGTAAGCCATGCGTGTTGTAAGAGGCGACTAAAATGCCGGGAGCAAGGGGCTAGTAACCTCTTCTCCTGTATATATTACTAAATGTAAAAGGAGAAACTTTCGTTTTTTCTTTTGGGCCACCCCGCCTCGGTGGGACACGGCCGGCGTGTTGAAAGAAAGAAAGAAAAAAACACTAATTCCTAAATTAATTGTAGTGACACAAGCCAACACCAGAACTCTGATTAAGAAAAAAAAAAAGCCATAAAACACTAATGTAAAAATATAAACCAGACATGTACCAGTAAACCATCCATATAACGGACCTCGATATAACAGACTTCTGAAATGACAGTAGACAAAAGCCACAGATAAATAAATTTTAACTCATTTATTTTCAAGGTTTATCAAAGCGTATTTGTGAATTGTATGTACAGTATTATATTAGTTATACAAGAGTACTACAGTATTTTTTTGTGAACTCTTGAACATTATTCTGATTTAATGGACATTTGGAGAATCCAGCATTAGTCCATTATATCAAGGGTTTACTAAACTGATAATAAAATTTATTTTTCACTTTATGTATAAAGTGTTAACTCCTTCTCCTGTATACATTCCTAAAGTTAAAAAGAGAGAATTTTGTTTTTCTTTTTGGGTCACCCTGCCTCGGTGGGATACAGCTGGCTTGTTGAAAGAAGTATAAAGTGTTTTAAGTTCTTTTACCACCAAAATTCAGATGCTGACTTTATTATTTCAACCTCCAAAGCCACATTAGTGTGGTAATATTATCTATAAAAAGGTTAACAAAATTATTTGCAATACTCATTCTTAACTAATTTGCATAATGAATCTGCGTAAATTTCCTACCCTGACCAGCAGCAACAGTGCGAGTGACAACAGTGATGGTGCCGGAGTTAGTGGTGACCACATAAAGTGGCCCACCAGTCCCTTGTGGCGAGCTGGGTGGTAAGAGTGGAGTCCGCCCCATTAGCCGTCCTGGAGCATTTGGACCCATACCCACACTGCTGCTGCTGCTGCTGCTGTTGTTGCTGCTGCTACTGCTGCTGCTGCTGCTGCACACAGTACTGGGATTGCTGCTGGAAACCCCAATCCCGCCTCCACTACCTCCCACCGAGTGAGTGATGATCTTGGCTCCTGATGCTAGCAAGGGATTAAGAGGACTTATTCAAGATTTTACATCCAATTAAGCCTTTTACAAGCTACTAAAATGCTAAATAAAAACATTATAATATTTGTCTACCTGTTATTTATTATATTTCCTAATCTAAAAGTTATACAGCATGATACAAACTCATGTAGGGAAATTTAAAAAGAAGTTAAGACTACTGTATATTTTGACCTCCCTTTGTCCATAAACAGAATGACATCAACAATATATGAGAGACTGTCAAATTTAAGAATAGTATTTAGAAAATGTAAGAAACCCTTCTTCTCCATCCATGCACAACCATACCTTGAGGACACAGCAACAGTATGGAACTAATCACGGAATAGATGGGACTTGAACCCATGCCGTGAGAGTCCTAAAACTCACTTGCCATGGGCTCAAGCCCCATCCGTTCCCTGGTTTGTTTGCAATCGTGTTATTATGATTTCGTGAACCAGTATGGAACTCTTACCTAGCCCCATACAAAGGTAAGCTCAAGAAAATTTCAAAGGTATACCTCCAGACTAGTACAGAAGTAGCAATACTTGAGCTACAAGGAAAGATTACACAAGTTACATTCAGAGGTGTGCAGGATGCTAAACAGTTCGCAAACGAGTGAAATTACTTACAAACGTTATCACTCAGTCCACAGCAAGATTCGAAGCTGCACACTCTGCATCAAAGTACACAGTACTTTAGTCACACTGCCAGACCCCAGATATGGGATCAAAAGTACTGTGTGCTTTGATGCAGAGTGTGCAGGTTCGAATCCTGCTGTAGAATGAGAGATATAATATGTAAGAACTGGTTCAATTCAGTTTTCCGAACAAAACATGAGTGCAGAGATATCCTAGCATAAAGTAAAATGAATGTGATGCTTTAATAAAAAAATGTGCCAAAGCTAAAATGTTCTTGATATGCTAGCTTATCCAAAGAAAATTCCAAAAGCTTGGACCAGCCTAAGAAAGTAGAGATGAACCTTCTAAAGATTATTTCAGGTGGATACAAACAGAAATAGCATAACCAGCAGTAACATAATTTTTTGTTTTAATTGCTGACAGTTCACTTTTACTCTGTTTACTGCTAAGATGATTCATTATTTACATTAAAAGTACAAAGCAATAATGATTCAAATTTAAGCTGCAAAATCCTCATGCAAAGAAATTCGCAATTCTTTTACAAACATATTCATGCATAATATATATGATAAATATTAATTTTTTTTTTTAAATATCAGAAATATAGGCATCAACAAAACATCAATTTCAAGATTTTCTTACTTCCTTCCTGACGAATCTGTATTGCAGCTTTCCCTGTAGCAACTGGTGTGCTTGGTCTAACCTGTAAATAATCATATATGAGCTTATTAATTAATGTTTGAGTAAACCCATAAGAGACAAACAGAAAGATTTTAGAAGCAATACACTTTGATCTCCTCCTAAGGTCCTCTTTATTTAAAAAGTTTCAAAATACAGTGGACTCTCGCCTAACGAACGCATTGCATAACGTTAAATTCGCCTAACGATACATTTTAACGCTAACTTTTGCCTCGGCTAACGCTAAAAAACTCGCCTAACGATATTCGTTCTCGGGTACCAATTAATATCGTTAGGTGAGGGTCCACTGTACAATACAGTGGACCCCCGGTTAACGATATTTTTTCAATCTAGAAGTATGTTCAGGTGCCAGTACTGACCGAATTTGTTCCCATAAGGAATATTGTGAAGTAAATTAGTCTATTTCAGACCCCCAAACATTCACGTACAAACGCACTCACACAAATACACTTACATAATTGGTCGCATTCGGAGGTGATCGTTATGCGGGGGTCCACTGTATATGCAAAACTAGAAATGTGGCATTGCCACATTGGTAGTGCACCAAATTTGGGCTTGGGCCCAAGTACACAGCATGTACCAGTAAATAATTTATAAAGCTACTAACCTGAATAGTTTGATGAGTCATCAAATGGCCTGGTGGCATACCATGAGGACCTGTAGATGGTGCTACCATGCCAGATGGACTCCCAGTAAATGAGGGCACAGAACTCATGTGACTACCAGAGCTCATACTGCTCCCTCCACTACCTGCACCTGACTCCACACCTGACAAAATTACACACCATAAATACCAATAAAATGCAAAATAACAATAATAATAATAATAACAACTAATGTTAAATTAAAAAAACTAATAATAACAATAATGTGTGAGGAAAGTAACTTTATGAAGGGATTCAAGAAAACCAGTTGGACTCGAGTCCTAGAGGTGGGAAGGGCAATGCCTGCATGCTGAAGGAGGGATGGGTCACCCTGTATTGGTGGAACATGACTGTTGAGGTTAAAAAAATCTTTGAGCATCTAAATTTGAAAATAAATTATTTGATAAGCTTCCATGTTTTGAGAAGCACATTAGTTATGAAAAATCATGAGGACTGAATGCAACTAAGAGACAAACAGATCAACGCTGGGTCAACTGCAGTACAGTATTCAATATTCATTAAAAGGTTTAAATTATTTTCGAAGAATAGCAGGATTAAATTTAAAAAAACCTAATATTTTTACATAGGCCTTAGATGACTAGGCAAAAAGAAATTAAACAGTAAATACGAAAAGCTTGCATTTACGAGACCAGAACCAAAATAAAAACATCAAATTTTTAGTTAAATCTAAAATTTAGCATTAGTATTTATATTGCCTGTCATAATATTTTGCATATGATAATCTTTCATATTAAATTTACTTGCATATAACAAAGAAAATTTTACCTCTCTGTGGCATTCCTGCTTCAGCCTGAAGAACAAGAGAATTGGATCGCTGACGAGGCCTAGGAGGCAGGGCACCAGAAGGAATTCTTGGCCTCATTCTGTTTACGTACGTTCCTGTTGACACAAAAGATATTATTGTAAATATTTACATAAAGTAAAAAAAAAAGTTGTTTTTTTAATAGGCCAGCCGTTTCCAACCTATGTAGGATAACCCCCCAAAAAATACGCATTCACCATTGCTCAATCAACAGCAGTCTTGCCAGAAGTGGGAAGATACCAATTCATATGGCTCTCTGAACTGTAATATCCCCCACCCTTCCTTCAGTGTGGTAAAAAAAAAAAAAGTATGTATTTCAGTGTAATACTGCATGACATTCCATTACAATATTTAAATTAGGAACTATTTTGACAGTAAATTTCCAGGCTCCTGCTAGGAAGAAAAGGTACTGAACATATGATTCATGCCTTATCAAACAAGATTTCACATTTGACATACCCAGACATCCTCTATGTAATCAATGACCGAAAATGGTTCAAATTTATACTTGTGGATACACCAATGCCAGGACTTAAGATGCCCATGTAGACCTAAAAGAAGGGTGGCCTTCAAGAGTTATTCTGGTGAGACTCCTTTTTGTTTATACTGATATAGGTCATATCACGCTGTAACTAAAACAATAAGTACAGAATGAAGAGATTTCAACATATCGGGGCAGATGCTCATAAGATCAGTGTGACCCTTTCATAGTCCAACTAATTAATAACCGGCTCTTAGCCACATAAGGAAGAAATGTTAGGGCTCTCATGGCTTCCTAAACAATAAGAGTCTTACTGCAAAGGTTTTCGAGGTAGTCAATGAAAGGTTGTTTCTGATTTTTCATCAAGCAAAAAATTTACATAAACAAACTTGATATTTTTTCAGCACACAGGCCATCTCCTACTTAGACTGGGTGACCCAAAAAAAAGGGAATACAATCACTGTCACTCAATCACTGTCTTGCCAAAAGTGTGCTGACAACCAAACTCCAACATCCTCACCCCTCCTTTCGAGTGCAGGCACTGTACTTCCCATCTCCAACTTCAAAATATATATATAAATATTCTCCAGAAATTAAACAGTAATGTATACAATTATAGAGTGAGGGGCTAGTAACCCCTTCTCCTGTATAAATTACTAAATTACTAAGTCACCCTGCCTCGGTCGGATACGGCAGGTGTATTGTGTTGAAAAGCATACAATTATAATAAAAAATTTAAACCACGTAAATTGTATCACTAACCAGATGGAGGCATTCCTCCTGACACAAGTGATCCACCACCAGAGTACGTTGAAGGTACGATCATACTTCCTGAGCCCACATTGCTCCCTGAGGAAAAAATATTGAAGAGCTGATTATTGCAGTACTGTATTTATTTTAAATAAGAAACAGTGTGATCTAATTTCTTCTAAAACTTTAACCTTTAATCTGTGGCATGATCAGAAATAAAATTTCTTACGAGTACGGCACTATTTTGAAAAGCAAAAAAAAAAAAAAAAAATCTTAACAGGGTGACCAGGAAATGAAGAAATACAAAACTCACGAAATCGTAATGAAACGATTGCAAGCAAACCATACCACGGACAGGGATAGAACCCGTGATCAGAGAGTCTCAAAACTCCAGACCGTCGCATTATGGTGTAGAAATATACCTAGTTGGACGAATCTTATTGTGGTTAGCTGGTCCAGTGGCTAACGCGACGGTCTGGAGCTTTGAGACTCTCTGATCGCAGGTTCTATCCCCACTCGTGGTATGGTTTGTTAAGAAATACAAAGTTTTTCTTACTTTTACATTTAGTAATTTATAGAGGAGAAAGGGTTACTAGCGCCTTTCTCCTGGCATTTTATTCGTCTCTTACAGCATACATGGCTTACAGAGGAAGGATTCTTTTCCACTTCCCCAAATGAAATAAATATGTAAACAAAGGAGATATCAACAGGGTACTAAGAATATCTAACCAAGAAAAAACAAGGAGAAAAGGATTAACGTGCGAGCACGTTAGACAGGAATGAGTGGAGATGAATGGTTTTTGGGACTTGATGAGTTGTTGGAGTGTGAGCAGGGTAATATTCTTTGAAGGGATTCAGGGAAAGTGGTTAGCCAGACTTGAGTCCCAAATGTGGGAAGTACAGCGCCTGCACTCTAAAGGTTTGGGATATTTACTTCTCAGAGTGACATCTAAGCTGTCATATCTGTATGCCTCTGGCAAGACAGTGGTAATGTGAATGATAGCGAAAGCGTTTCTTTATTGGACCACCTAGCCTCAGAGGGAGACAGCCAGGGTATTAAAAATAAAACAGATTCAGAAAAGATATGAGTGATTATTGGTTTGACACTTAAGCTGTAGATGAGTTAACAATCTGCCAAGTAGTCACTGAACTAAAATGATAGCTTTAAAAATGTTAGACCAATATAAGAGTGAAGAGAGATGGATTTGAGGAGGACCTGCCTAGCATAGGCCAGCAGGCCTACTGCAGTGCTCCTCCATTCTTACCTCTGATTAAAACATGGGATCTATGGGAAAACAGCTTCTAAGTGCAGAACACAAAAGTAACAAAAAATTTTCAGGAATGTGTTAATTTTGCAAGTTGGTGCACTACTGTTATATACAAATGAGAAGAGCTGAGTCTAAGTAGAATCTGTCTAGCACGGACCAGTATGTCTACTACAGTGTTCCTCTATTCTTTTGTTCTTATTTCCAAATCAAGTACTTTCTTATAAAAAAACGTGGTTTTAAATAGTACAAGATAATACTAAAATAACAAAATAAAAAGCTGAAATTTACCAGACTGCATTTGACTTGCTGGTATTGTACTGCCTGCAGAGGGAACACCTCTCATCACAGTGGGTGATGCTCCAGTGCTACTTTTCATAACAGGAACACTGAGAGAACGCTGATACATGCCACTTCCTACGCCACTTGCTCCAGATGTTGATACAAGAATTACCTGGCAATTAGGAAGTTATTACATATTAATCATATTTCATTAATAATTAAATAGAATTTTTTTAAAACAACAGCCATCTCCCACCAAGGCAGGGTGGCCCGAAAAATAAGAAACCAAAAGCCTTTCTTCTTTTTACATTTAGTTATTTATTCAGGAGAAGTGACATTTTAGTTATATGTTATGACACCCATGGCTTACGGAGGGAGGATTCTTCTCCACTTCCCCATAGAGAAAATAAGGAAAAATAAGATTTAATTACAATTAAATCACATGCAAGATTTATTTATATGTATAGGTGATTTTTAGAGGGAATTTCTGTGAAGGAAACAAAATTTAATGATAAGATCCATTCAAATTATTTATTCACTTGTTATACACTTACTGGGTAAATTATATATATATACAGTGGACCCCCGCATAACGATGGCATCACATAGCGATTATTTCGCATACCGCTTACTTTAATTGCAAAAATTTTGCCTCGCATACCGCTTAAAAACCCGCTTACCGATTTTCGTCCGAGACGCTTCCAATGTGCGGCCTGAGCCACGCTCACATGTTCCGCCGGTGGCATTGTTTACCAGCCAGCCTCCGCAATAACATCCAAGCATACAATCGGAATATTTCGTATTATTACAGTGTTTTCGGTGCTGTTTCTGGAAAATAAGTGATCATGGGCCCCAAGAAAGCTTCTAGTGCCAACCCTGTGGTAAAAAGGGTGAGAATTAGTATGGAAATTAAGAAAGATTTTGAAGGGTTTGGGGCTAACCCTGAGAAGCCTATGCCAGTTGTGGAATCCATTGTGCCTACTTCAAAAATTAAGGAAATGTGTGCACAGTGGGTTGAACTGCAAACCTTTATGGATGAAAATCACCCTGACACAGCTGTTGCAAGCCGTGCTGGTGGGCTATTTCAATGACAATGTTGTGGCCCATTTTAGACAAATCGTAAAGGAACGGGAGGTACAGAGCTCTATGGACAGATTTGTTGTGCGACAGAAGTAACCCCGGAAAAGGACTTGCTACCTCAAGTCCTAATGGAAGGGGATTCCCCTTCTAAACAGTAAGAAGATAATGCTCTCCCCTCCTCCCATCCCATCAATCATCACCAGATCTTCAATAAAAGTAAGTGTCATGTAAGTGTGCATGCCTTTTTCAGTTTGTGTGTATTAAAATTAACATTTCATGTGGTAAAAATTTTTTTTTTTCATACTTTTGGGTGTCTTGCACGGATTAATTTTATTTCCATTATTTCTTATGGGGAAAATTCATTCACATAACGATTATTTCGCATAACGATTACCCCTCTTGCACGGATTAAAATCGTTAACCGGGGGTCCACTGTATATATATATATTGGCAGTTTGGAGGGATATGTTGTGTATCTTTATATGTGTATGCTTCTAGACTGTTGTATTCTGAGCACCTCTACAAAAACAGTGATAATATGTGAGTGTAGTGAAAGTGTTGAATGATGATGAAAGTATTTTCTTTTTGGGGATTTTCTTTCTTTTTTGGGTCACCCTGCCTCGGTGGGAGACGGCCGACTTGTTGAAAAAAAAAAAAAAAAAATAATAATATATATATATATATATACAGTGGACCCCTGCATAACGATGGCATCACATAGCGATTAATCCGCATACCGCTTGCTTTAATCGCAAAAATTTTGCCGCGCATACCGATTAAAAACCCGCTCACCGATTTTCGTCCGAGACGCGTCCAATGTGCGCCCTCAGCCAGCCTCACATGTGCCGCCCGTGCCATTGTTTACCAGCCAGCCTCCGCGGTAACATCCAAGCATACAATCGGAATACAGTGGACCCCCGGTTAACGATTTTAATCCGTGCAAGAGGGCTCATCGTTATGCGAAATAATCGTTATGCGAATGAATTTTCCCCATAAGAAATAATGGAAATCAAATTAATCCGTGCAAGACGCCCAAAAGTATGAAAAAAAATTTTTTTTACCACATGAAATGTTAATTTTAATACACACAAACTGAAAAAGGCATGCACAATTAAATGACACTTACTTTTATTGAAGATCCGGTGATGATTGATGGGATGGGAGGAGGGGAGAGCATTATCTTCTTACTGTTTAGAAGGGGAATCCCCTTCCATTACGACTTGAGGTAGCAAGTCCTTTTCCGGGGTTATTTCCCCTTTCTTCTTTTAATGCCACTAGGACCAGCTTTAGAGTCACTGGACCTCTGTCGCACACAAATCTGTCCATAGAGCTCTGTACCTCCCGTTCCCCTTTACGATTTGTCTAAAATGGGCCACAACATTGTCATTGAAATAGTCACCAGCACGCTTGCAACAGCTGTGTCAGGGTGATTTTCATCTATAAAGGTTTGCAGTTCAACCCACTGTGCCACATTTCCTTAATCTTTGAAGTAGGCACAATGGATTCCACAACTGGCATAGGCTTCTCAGGGTTAGCCCAAACCCTTCAAAATCTTTCTTAATTTCCATACTAATTCTCACCCTTTTTTACCACAGGGTTGGCATAAAAAGCTTTCTTGGGGCCCAAAGGTCACTTATTTTCCAGAAACAGCACCGAAAACACTGTAATAATACGAAATATTCGAGTGTATGCTTGGATGTTACCGCGGAGGCTGGCTGGTAAACAATGGGACGGCCGGCACATGTGAGGCTGGCTGAGGGCACATTGGACGGTCTCGGGCGAAAATCGGTAAGCGGGTTTTTAATCGGTTAAAGCGCGGCAAAAATTTTGCGATAAAAGTAATCGGTATGCGGAAAAAACGCTATGTGATGCCCTCGTTATGCGGGGGTCCACTGTATTTCGTATTAATTTCAGTGTTTTCGGTGCTGTTTTCTGGAAAATAAGTGACCATGGGCCCCAAGAAAGCTTCTAGTGCCAACCGTACACCAATAAGGTGAGAATTCCAATAGAAATGAAGAAAGAGATCATTTTATAAGTATGAAAGTGGAGTGCGTATCGCCGACCTAGTCAAGTTGTACAAGAAACCCCAATCAACCATCGCTACTATTGTGGGCCCAGAAAACAACAAGGAAGCGTTCTTGCCAAAAGGGTTTTAAATGTGTTTTTTGAAACAAAGATCGCAAGTGATGGAAGATGTTGAAAAAAAG